ATTTTTTTTTTTTTTTTTTTTTTTTTTTTAAATATTTCTTTATATTTTTTTTTTTAAAAAAAAAATTTTTTTATAAGAAAATTAAAAATACATAGAAATAAATATCTTTTATTCTTTACCATTTTAAAAATGATTTATAAATATTTTATTTCATTATTTATTTAAAACATTTTAATTTTTTATACAATAATTTTAATTACCTATTTATTAAGGATATTTCTTTTTTTTTGTGAAGGAATAGAAAAAAATTTTAATGTATAGGTGAATTTTTTTATTTTTTTTAAATTTTTGTAATTCTTTCTTAATAAAATGAATTTCGGTAGAATAATAAAAAACTTTTCATGTAAAAAAATTGAAAATATAGGAAAGAGAAGTATTTCAAATTATTGTGATAAAACAAAATATAATAAATTATATAGAAATGAAAATTTATATTTAAAAAATATACAGAAGCGAACTTATTTACATTTTGCTCGTACATTACCAGAAGACTATGAACTTCCTTTAGATACTTTTCCGGAAAATATAAGTGAAATATTAAAAAAGGATAAGAAATCTCTTGATTTTATTCAGAGTTATTGGTACTGGAAAATTAGAAGTGAGAGTAATTTACTTAATTATGAGAAATTAATCAAGAAATCATATAAGCAATTAGCAATTGATATGGGAATGCAGGTTAAAAATATATTAAATTAATCTATAATTATTTTGATTAATTAATTATATTGCATTCATAATATTTTTTATAATAAATTTTTTTATATTTATTTCTTTAATGCTTTTATCAACCAAAAAGATTAAAAATATGTATGTATATATATATATATGTGTTATAAAAATTATTATTTAACTCAGATTGCAAATCCGGACAATGAGCATATGTTAGCTTTATTAGAATTTTATGAATATTTGAAATCTTCTCCATTTGTTGGTCCATTTGGTACTATTGAAAATCCAGTCATAGTTCCAAGTGTTCATACAGAAAGAGTAGTATGTTGTACTGGAGGAACAGGAGAAAACGAACATGTTCCATTATTTTTTCGTTGTAGAGAAGGATTTTTATATCGATGTGGAGAATGCGATCAAATTTTTATGCATGTACGTGTGTTATATTCATTAAGTGATGGAAATGATCCATTCCCTAATGATCCTGATGTGGATGATGTATTTGATTTAAATCTTATAGAAGAAAATATGAGATTATATAATGATGATCAATATGTTCGTTGGCCAACTGGAAATGTTACATATAGACAAATGTTTCTTGAAGGAAAATGGGGAAATGAAAAACCAAATAATATATCTAATTTAAGTTTAAATAAATAAATAATACATATTAATAGTGAAATATTATTATATTTATTAGTTTATATATATATATATATATATATTTCTTTTTTCTTTATTTCTTCTTTTTTCCTTTTTTTTTTTTTTTTTTTTTTTGTAAAATACATGAGTATGAGATAAAACATTTAATAAGAAAAAAAAATAGTACAAATAACTGTTTGTTGATACAAAAATCTATTTAAAAAAAATAATAATTATATGTAAATGTAAAAATTTTTTTTCTCCCATAATTACTCTTACTCTTTATATAATATTTATTTTAAGACAAGATATTCTTATAATATTTAATTTTAATATAAGATCTTCGCACTTATTTATGTTAATTTTTTATATAAATATGCATATTAGAATTAAAAAAAAAAAAAAAAAGAAAAAAAAAAAAAAGTTAAAAGCAAAGTTTAAAGTATACATAGATATAATACTTCATGAAAAAAATTAAGTATAATATATATTATATATATCCCATCTAAGATTTGTTTCATTTTTTTTTTTTTTTTCATATATAATTAATGATAAGAATTATAAATATATTTAATTTTTGTCTTAAAATTTTTTACATTAAAATAATTAAAATAAAAAAAAAAAA